CAGTGATAGGAAAGGGGGGAAAAACATTTTTTATTATTAATTTAACAAGGAGAGGGAAACAATTTCATGGAAGCTAACATAAATGTTCAGAGTCAGCTGAAGATTTCCCAACAGATTTTGAGATTCAATGACTTAGTATTAAATCCTGCATCAACATAGAACAGCCCCTGAAACTACAGAGCAACAAGACAGTGTCTTTAGAAGACTTCTTTAAATTTACAAAGCTAAACAGGGTAATGCATTTCTAAATTGAAATATAAAATAACCCGCACCTCAGATCTCCAGATTTCCGCATTATTGCATTTTTTCCTCATTTAAATATGGAAAAAATGTGGAAAAAAATACCGAGAGAATTAACAATACGGAAAAGCAGAAAATATACGGAAATAGTCCGGAAAATATACGGAAATAATATAGAGAATTAGACTTAGTCTAATTTTCATCTGGAAAAATATTGAACTCTTAACTTAGAATATTTTTCATCTGGAAAAAATACGGAGCTCAGGACTTAGAATTTTTCATCAACAACAGGATGTGTTTGTGAAACACTGTGAGTAGCGCCCGGTGGCATCAAAGTTCTAAAAAGCAATTTTTTAGCAAATGGGTCTTTCTCAAGGTCACACGATCATTGTTGTCATTTTGAAAGCACTTAATTAGTGGAGTCTGCATACCAAATATTAAGTCTCTATCATCTTAAGTCTCTATCATCTATGGTTCAAAAGTTATGGCGAAAATTTGAAAAAAGCTATTTTTAGCACATAAGTCACAGTCAAGGTCACAAGGTCATTGACCTTGGTGTCAGTTGAAAGTGCCTTATCAGTGGAGTGTGCATATCAAATATGAAGTCTCTATCTCTTACGGTTCAAAAGTTATGGTGAAAGTTTGAAAAAACTATTTTTAGCCTATAGGTCACAGTCAAGGTCACACGATCACTGTTCTTGGTGTTATTTGAAAGCACTTTATTGGTGGAGTCTGCATACCAAATATTAAGTCTCTATCATGTATGGTTCAAAAGTTATGGCGAAAATTTCGAAAAAAGCTATTTTTAGCACATAGGTTACAGTCAAGGTCACAAGGTCATTGACCTTGTATCAGTGGAAAGTGCTTTTGTAGTGGAATATCCAAACCAAATATGATGTCCCTTAGTGTCACTGTTCAAAAGTTTTGGCAAACGTTAAAGTTTACAACAGACAGACAAACAGACAGACAAACAGCTAAACAGACAGACAGGACAAAAACAATATGTGCCCCGAAAAAATTTGGAAGCATAAAAACTGTCTTAGAGTTAACAGCAGTTCTCTGTTTCTCCTGAATGTGTTATGTGAAATTTGATCGGGATCGGAAGAATGTTTCAAAAAGTCGGGCTCAGTGATCAATTAATTTATACAACAGACCGCCAAAATTTAACCTTGGCATCCATGTTGTAACGTCTGCTCTGTGTAAAGGAGGAAGTTTGTTGACCTGAGACAGCCCGAGATCGTATTGCTGTATCAACCAAAGGATGTAGATACACGTATTTCATATGCGGTAGGTCAGTCATATCTTTTTAACATGTGTGTCAGTGATGATTAAAAATAAATTCTCTAGGCCTAGGAGTGAGCTACCAGTACCAATGGCATTGGTACTGGTAATTTGGCAATGCAGGCTACGTTCGTTTCAACCAATATGCCAATGATTCAAATCATTCAATCAGCTCATAGAATTAAATTATGATGAACCACAATTAAAGGTGTTAATTTTGGGGAGACATGGGCTGTTATCTTTAGCAAATGATTAATCATACATTTTTTTTTTATAGCGTCTGTGCAGAAGGAGGAGATATTTTGAAAAAGAATAAGTGGTTATTCAACTAACTGCGATTTTAACAGGCTTAAAGCGGGTCCATGGATGGTTATGTATGAGGTATATATATTCTTTTTTATTGCTCGTTTAATTAAAAACAGTCAACTATGATTGTCATCATTATAAATATTATTTTAAACAAATTGATATAAAATTAAAGAACCCAAATTTGTGTTTATAAAAATATTATAAAAGGAATAAAAGCAATTAATTTGAATTTTATTAATATTGCACCATTATAATTTAAGTATTTTTTTTTTGAGCTGATAGGATTTGCCCATTCGACCGCAAGTGCTGCTGTAAGAAATTAAACATGCAGTGACCTTACAAATTACAAAGAAGTCTGAAGAAAATTTTTATTGGACAGATGGGTGTAAAGCACAGACCTTAGAGATATAATAACTGAATATTGTGAGAAATATGAATCAGGAATGCAGGTAGAAAATGGCAAATGTGATCCAGATTGATAAAAAATGTCTATAAAATTGCTTTTTTTTTGTAAATATTCAATGCTATGTCAATTGTTATTTTTTCTTCAATATCTGATAGTATTGAACTTTTCACTACCACTTTTGCTTAAATAGAATGAATAGATTTCCATTTGATTAATATAAATATAAAAAAAATGCCACATTCTTATTTTTTTTTCCATGATGAATTTGTGGCTGAAATAGAGTTCAAATTTTTTCCAATTACATGCTCATCTGTTTGTTTGTCAAAGATATATGCTCCAATACATTGCTCATGAACATAATGTGTAATTTTTTCATTCATTTATGTTTTTCTCATAATGATATAATAAATTGTATATAAATTTGTACATTGTTTATGGTTTTGTAAATATTTATATGTATGCATCATGTTATTCATGTAGCGGTTTTAGGCCATTTTATAACCATGTGATTAACTCCATATTTTCTCCAGATTTCTCCATTTCCGCATTTTTACCTCCATATTTTGTATATATGGAAATGCGGAAATCTGGAGAGAATACAGAAAAAGAGTCCAAATACTCCCATCCGCATTTTCTCCATATTTTGAATACGGAGAAAATCTGGAAATTTGAATACGGAGAAAATCTGGAATGAATGCAGAAAATTAGTCCAAATACTCCCGTCCGCATTTTTTCCATATTTTAAATATGGAAAATATATGGAGATCTGAGGTGCGGGAAGCACATTAGAACATTACTAAAATAAAGTATATTTAAAAATTTCGATATATGTTATGAGATTAAAAGAAAAAAAAATACAGGGTATTTCATTCATACTATATTACACATTATTTTAAGAATGTAAGCATGAAGTTTTGACAATTATTTCAATTTCAGATCTTTAAATCAAGGATACAACTCATGTCCCTTAGACTTAGTGAGAAAAATCCATTCATCCATCTATTAAAAGCTTGAAACTCAAGACTGTCTGCAGAACTTTATTAATTTTTCTAATTGCCAAGTTAAACTACAACATTTGCCATGAATATTATTTATATATCCTCTTATGGACTGGCAGAATAGATAGTGAACATAAAATTTTATAATTTCAAAATTAATTCACATTGTACAGGTTTCTAAACAATGTATGAATAAACAGTAAATTTTATGAATTAATGATGGTGTTAATATTAATAATGTTTTATCTTGTTGTTTATTTTTGTTCTATAAAACAGTGAAACGCACGATGACTTTTTGTGTTTGCAAAAGGTCGTCGCGCGTTTTCTCCCCCGAAAAATTTTGGCCATGTTGACAGGTATGCACGGGCGACTTCAATAGTGTATACAAATCTGTGCATGATTATTTATTTATTTTCTTCTCAACTTAACGTATACGTACTGTATTTTTTAACTAAGTACATGTATGTAAGGGCCATCGGCCCGATGGCTGATATTTGTTGTCTCGGGCCACTCTCCATATCATGAGTGAAAAATTCTCGAGAGGAATGTTTGACAACTTAAAACAATTAACCACACAAATTTGAGAATTTTATATTAACAATATAATAATGGTAAACATTATAAATAATTACAGCTGGTTGGTATGTAAATAATCAACTCTGCATATTGTACAGTTTGTCTGCATTATACCAGGGACATATATACTATTACATATAGGTCCCTGATAATACATTATAATTATACAGTGCAAAGTTTCCAAGTTTGACTTTTGTTCTTGATGAGGCCCCCTATACAGCTTAATACACCCTTAAAATGTGGATCTATATGTATGCCAGGCCAGGACGACCTTTCATTAGTGTCCGATCTATATGTACGCCAGGCCAGGATGACCTTTCATTATTTACTCTGATTGGACAGTATCTATGTGCACTCACTAGACCTACCGGAAGTCCAATTTTCACCAAAATGCCAATACACATGTCAATATTTAATTTGAAGATTCACATTAAAACTAAAAAATGTGACAAATGGTACCTAATATACACGTGCATACATGCGAACAAGTATTTCCAAGTGTTAGTAACAGTCTAGCTATAAATCTCTGTTTTGCTGCAGGCCAACAATGGCGTCAAGAATGTTCGACTACTCACTGCGAGAATTGTTTTCCACAATAACCCCTATAAAGTAATAAACTGATGAATATAACTACTTCAATACAAACTTACCTCGCCCAGAAGAAATCTTCTTCTGTGCAAGATGTCTTGAAGAATGCAGTGAAAGCGCTGAGTAGATGCAATGCAGAAGCAATGACAATAGTGACCGTTATTGACAAAATGGCAATTTCAATCTGACCTTATAACCCAGGTCACGTGATCAAAGTTAGACAGTCTCCCATGCAGAGCGTAGTGATTTTGGAAGATCTATCCACCTAATTCTATGAAAAGAAACTTGAAGGTGCGATATGCAATGTAATCCCTCAAAAAATATATTATCTAAATCTACCCCTCTCGGGAACCAATGCATGAATTAAAACATTTATATTTAATTTCCGTAAAACGGTAGATCTTTTATTAAATAGTTGCCAGATCTTTTGAAATGCCCCTCGTATTTTGTTCATTTTTTTTACCTCTGGAAGCTTTTGAAAACTTTCGCCTGTTTGACGTGATTGTGGTGTGATTCTATGCATCAGTGTAAGGGACACTTACCTGACCCCCCCCCCCCCCCGACTTTACAATAATAGCTGGATCCGGTCCTGCACGTACAGCAACCACCCGGTTCTACTTAAGTAGGAGATAGGACCTTTATATTTATTCAGTTTTCCCCTTCCTTTCATCTCAAGATTTTTCGGGGAAGTTTCTGTTTATTCTGGTTGCAGTAAGTTCCCCCTCCTCTTCACTTACAAAAATTATACAGCTAAAGGGAATCTCACCCCACCCCCACCCCCCGATATATATGATACCGCATAGCGTGTTTTTTGCGATGTGTTGACTTTGGATTATTTTAGCGGTTTTGAAGTTAGCCGCTAAAATTTTAAATTTGCACTTTTTGTTATCACTACTGAATACAAGAAAAAATCACTTAAATAACTTTGATAGTCTGTTAATTCAAATAAAACTTGTATTAAATAGATCACTTGTATTAAATAAATAAATAAAACGGGTATTGCATTTACTCAAACTTTTGTGTTAATTGGTATTCGAGCGTATAATTAACATGCTGAAACTTAACTAAAAGACAAATTTCCTCTTATTTGAAATGTCATCGAACTCTGTGTCCGCCAAAAAAAAAACAAGATGTGTTTGTGAAACACTGATGCCCCCGTATGGCAACATAACAAAGATTAAATTTTTCTTAAATGGAACTTCAATTAATTGGTACCAAAAGTAGGGGATTCTCACTGGAAAACAATTGTGAAATTTGGAAGTCGGCCAATATGTTAAAGTTTTTTCATTAAGAACAAAAATCTCCAAGTTCAAGGTTAAAATGTAATGGTTATATGTATTCAGTGAAAGGTCTTGACACATAGAGTAATTATGTAGAGTATGGAGGCCCTAGCCCTAACCGTTCAGAAGTAATAATCAAGGTTAATATTTTAAAAAGTAGGTCAAACTCCAAGGTCAAAGTCAAAGGGTCAAAGCTCTTGTTATCAAATGAAAAGGGCCCTTTTTACAAGGATTAAATATGTAAAGTATATGAAAGCACTACCCTTAACTCTTAAAAAGTTATGTCAAGGTCAAAGGGTCAAAGTTCTTAGAATCCAATGAAGGGTCTTTTTACAAGGATTACAAATAATAAGTATAAAATCTCTGCCTCTTATTGTTCAAAAGTTATGGCCAAGGTTAAAGGTTAAAGTTTTTTCACAAGTACGGATATCTCCAAGGTCAAAGGGTCAAGGTTTTTGGTATCCAATGAAAGCTAGGTCTTTTAACAAGTAATACATACGTGAAGTATAATTGTCCTGGTACCTATTGTTCAAAAGATATGGCCAAATTAAAAGTGGGTCAAACTCCAAGGTCAAAAGGTCAAATTTAGTGGTACCAAAGAAAGGTCTTGTCACAAGAAATACACTACAGTGACTACACACTTGAAAAATCATCGACGGAACCCATAAATGCAGTGTAACGGAGAAAAAACCCGTGGGTTTCGACATGTTGAAATATAGAGTCATGATCCACAAAGCAAAAGTTATTGGCAAGGTTAAAGTTTTTGCAGATAAACAGACAGACAGACGGAGGGACACGATAAAACTATATACCCCCGAAATGTCGTTTACAGGAGCATAAAAATTCTTACAAAATTGTTGGCATTATGTACCTTTGAGCAAGCAAAACGCTAAATTTTACACACGCTAAAAAATCCGCTATACGGGACCTTCGGAGGGTACATTCACACATGGTCTCTTAATTATTAGGGGTACAAACGACACATGATGGTTTGAAATATACTTGCGCAGAATAACAGAGTATCATATGACATTAATTAAAATTAAATTAAAAAAAACATGGATTGTAAAAACGCACATGTAATCTAGATATAGCTTGTGGGTATTTGTTTCTATGCAACAGTCTTAAACAAGAAAGCCATTGGCCACAATGTTCACCTTAGTCAATCTAATTGCCAAACTGTTCGTCAACAACATTTCTAACTACATGTACATTTATATATTTCCCATCTTAAGCTTTAAAAATTTGCAGCCCCATCCTATACCCTGAGACTAGGCCCAGGATGATGATTTGAAAAGCTTGAATCTAAGTAACAA